CACACACACACACACACACACACAGTAAATACAATAGTTAATACATGAGTTATTAAGCTTGAATAAACAATAAGTATGTTTGTTTTGGAAGTAATTAACCTGTATGGGTAAGGCATTAATAAACAAGTTCCTTTATAGCTTATTAAGTATGAATCATTCTTAATTATTCATGTTTTCAAGGTTAATTAACCATTTATTAACAGTTAAGTAGAGGTAAAATAGATGTAGTTATCATGAAGTGCTACAGTACAATAAGTCTTTGCCATTTCAACTGTTTTATTTCTGATGTTCTGTCAGACGGTGCGTACCGTTCGTCGCCGGCGCTGCTACCCGCCCACCTGGAAACGCTGGGTCTTCTTCCTCTTCCCCGGCACCATGATCGCCACYTCGGCCGTGGCGCTGTACGCCTTCGTGGAGACGGAGGAGAACTACTTCTACATCCACAGCATCTGGCACATGCTGATCGCGGGCAGCGTGGGTTTCCTTTTGCCGCCTCGTGCCAAGCCCGACGCCAAGGTGACCCCGCTGAAACGCAAGCGGGGCTGCGGCTACCAGCTGTGCGTGAACGAACACGAGGAACTGGGCCTGGTGGATCCGGCCATTATCTCCATCAACAGCATCTGTACCAGCTGATAAACTCTCAGCTTCCGATGTTTTTTTTGTTTTTGTTTTTTTAGAGACWCTCCATTGCCTTCTTTTACTTGGGAAATTCACACAGGAATTGAAGCCACAGAACTTAAAAAAAAGGAAAATAACAAAAAAAGCAATGTAAATACTTTAATCCTGATGTGACGATCTAGAACTCCTTTTTTCTGTTGTAACGATCAAGGTAATTATGATCAGTATGTAATAATTATTATCAATAGTTAAAGTTATGACAAATTGTGGGTGTATATTGACACACTGTTGTTTGTGAATACGTATTTAAAGTCAAAGCTGAAACACTGCTGCTATCTGACGGTGACTGTAAAACTGCTTCTGTCGGTTATTTATTGTTGGCCAATTACTTGACGGTACTGAACGGCAGGCACGGATGGATATTCATCAAGGGCACGGCTTTTCTGAAATTCTTTTGAAATATATCTTTTGCACTGAGACACAAAAATGTTATTCTGTACATTTTTATAAGAGTATAAACAAGAGTGGGACCTCACAAATGTAAAACCTAGCTGTCYTGTGGAATGTTAGACCGTATTTTGAGATTGCAATGTATCACTTTCACATGAATGTTTCTATTGTTTGTGAAGGGAGCGGGTCCAAAGTTCTGGAAGGAGAAGAAGAGGGAGGTGGAAAAGCTTACTGGGGTAGTTCAGATCTTTGGGAGTGGGGTTTTGTGGAAAGGTTATGAACAATTAATGTTTTGTCTGCTGTAGACCACTCTTTGAATGGCATTTTATGGAAAAACTGTTTAATTCTGACCACAGTGATGAGCTTACAAATAACTGAATAGACTTGTGACAAACTGTTACATTTTTCTTTAAACAAGTCAAAAACTAGCCTGGCCCTTGCCTTCCGACGCAGTTCAGCTCAATTCTAGTTTCCCTTCTCTGCTCCATCTGGGACTTCTCCCATAGACAAGGATTTCACTGGCAGATTTTTAGCCGAACCAATCAGAGAAAAGAATGTCGATTTTCTGCGCAGTGTCTGCTTGTAGTTTATTTTACCTGGGCCAATCAGCAAACAGAAGGCGGAGTTTTGAACGACGTCAATTTTCTGTGCAGTGTCTGCTAGTTATTTTAGCATACGGCAGTGGAGGAAGTGAATGAAGCCAGTCTGTGTTGATAAGGCTTCCAAATTGAATTAAATTTGTCTGACAAAGCAGCAGCTCTCATTTACAGTCGTCTCGTTCAGCTCAGTAGTGTTCTCCTCTCAGTAGGGTTGTTTACAGCACACGCGATTTCCGGTTAGCTTCTTAGCTTAGCCTCCTTCACAGCGACATACTGTACACACACACACACACACACTGCAGCAGAGGCCACGCCTCCTGCAAGAATCGCTTCTCTACAGCAGCGAGTCCAGACCCTCTGTCCGAAGCAAAGTGAAGGACAAGGGTCTGGTTTTAACCAGGCCAGTCAAAAAACTAAAAACATTTAAAAATGATAAGAATTGTGTAAATCAAACGAAATCAACCCATKAAAACATATATTGTTTTAGATTTTAGATAAGAAAATGTCCCGTATGTTTACATAGAAGGGCATGGCTTAAAGGTTTTACAACAACCAGCCACTAGGGGGGCTTGTCCTTTGAAGCTTCAAATTCGGGCTTCCAGTCTTGTTTCTCATTAAAGAACATATTATTCAGAGCTGTCAAAAGTATTCAAAATCATCACTCAAGTASAATTACAGATACTAGGGTTTAAAAATACTTTTTGTTGAAGCATCAACGGTAGCTTTTTACTTAAGTAAAAATGTAAAAGTACTGGTTTTYAAACTGCTTAAATTAAAAAAGTCAATAGAATGTAAAAAGGAAAAAATTTTTTTTTAAATAAATCCTTTCTTAAGGCCGTCATGACCATAACGTTATATAAAAATGTTAACTAGGTCATCATTGTAAAAATGAACTGGTTCTGTACTGACTTACCTGGTAAAAAGATTTATGTTAAATTTTTGGSGATGAACTAGTCTGCCTGTTTCAACTGCATATCTGTGCCATGGTRGTCTTCATACTCAGCTACATATTTTCTGCTGGAGTATGATGTGTTTTGTGTCATTCAAGTGTAATAGATCGTACAAACCAATAGGGTGTCAGAATGGTATGCATTTATACTTTTATACTTCTATCCAGGAGGTGTTACATTTCTGCATAGGATTTTTTTAAATGATGACYAGACAGAATGAAAACAAACCAAAATGAAATAAAAATGAAATACTTTTTGGCATTTTTAAAATGTAAGGAGTAGAAGTAAAAAGTKATCTGAAAAGTAAATCATCCAGCGAAGTATAGATAAACAAGGGAACAAAGTATTTGTACTTGATTACTTAAKACCTCTGATATTAATTGATATAGTTCATATAAAGAGTTTTCTACAGCAAATAAAATATTGTTTATAACCTGTCCGCACGACCCTGTTTCAAATGTTCTGTTCTAAACAGACCCTTTAAGAGACCCCAGACCAAGACCTCATCTCCCTGCTCTTGTCTGACAGGACCTGCGTGACACCACACTCATGAACAATAAATGTTTTCTTTCTTTGCCTCCGTGTTACTTTGCTGCTCTCAGAGCTTTTAAATGCTGTGCAACTGGTGCGAACGCCTCACAAAGACATCACATTGCAATTCTTGGCCCTAATGGAAGCTGGTGGTTCTCAGACAGTGAGATGAGACGCTGTCAACAYCATCCTCCCAGGAATAGAGCGAGAGATAAATAATTCTTCCACACAGCAGCAGGATGAGAACAAGCTGTCGATATGTGGCCTTTCTCTTCCTTTGAAAGGAAAAGCAGGGCTGGGAGACTTTTATGACTTTCTGCTATATTCATTTTAGGTGTGATCCATCACTCCTTGTGCACACCAGATATTTCTTCCTGGATGATTTCAGGAAAAAAAAAWTCTTTTTTAGTAACTGCACATGGTAAGTGGCAGCGATACCTGGACTTGGTGTCACCACGACTCTTTACGGGCTCGGTTTGACATTCAGGAAAGTGGGCTTTATATGCTTTCTTGTCTTGAAAGGATTGCCACGACTGCCTTTTGTGTTTAAACAAAGCTTCAGCTGCCAAACTATTAGCCGAGAACAAAAACCACGGGGATCGTGGGGGAAGCAGCTTGGCTGGATCTGCTCGAGCCGAACAAATGAAAATCTTTAGAGGTGTTGGGTTGCCATAGTTTCAAATTTACCAAACAAATACAGGAGTGGTATRGATCCCGCAGCAATAATGTAGAAAACAACATTTCACCAAATGTCAGTCCATTCCAAACGGAATATTAAAATAAAAATGAAACAATAGGTTGATGGTAAAAAAAAAAGTCATTTAATTTTCTCTTAAAGGGGCAATATCATGTAAAATCAATTTTTTTGAGTTTTATATCATGTTATCCTCTCATCAAAAATATGCCCAGAGTCTTACTTTGACTCATTCATGCATGTTTGAGAAATCCTGTAGTGTCCTGAGGCAGCCAGGCAGGGGAGCAAAAACGACCAGTTGGGCCTAGAACCGCCTTTTGGGACCAGCTCCTCCTCTGGGCTGTCTCCAAGCTGAGCTTCCTCATTATGGAGCACACCTCTCCACCCCCCACCCCAAACACCCTGCCCATGACTCCTGCAGGTTCTCCGCAGCAACAAAGCAAACAACTGGTGAAACTGAAAGTGAAACTTAAACTGTCTGCTGAGCTCTTAACACTACTTTTCACTCAGTGAAGCTCTTTTCAGATTCAAAATACCTTTGAGGAAGCGTATTTTCAGATGTCAATTAAACTCCATCATAGCGTGCGCTGAAATGGGCTAGACAGAAGTGGAAGGTGGTTCTTAAAGAGACAGTATTTAAATATGTGCCTGAGAAACACATAATATTGCCCCTTTAAAGCCAAATAAATGATAACTAACCGGGATCCTCAAACTTCTACTAAATAATTATTTACCCTTGTCTGCAAATCTAAGAGTCTAATCAGTGCTTTAGGTGCTTTTATAATCCAATATGGCACAGTGGAGACACTGAGGGCTTTCCTTGCTCAGGGACACCTCAACATGTGACTTCATGCTTCTGGGAATCAAACCTCCGTTCCTCTCGATGAGGCAAAGCTGCGCTAACCACCGATCCACAGCTGCTTCTGAAYTTATTTTTCAAAAATAAGCTCAGAGCAAACCATAAACATACATAAAAGTCATCCAATAAAAAAGTGCATCTTGTTTTTTTAGCTTTGCAAGCGACTAAGATGGAGGATTACTCCAAAACCGTGACTGCTGCAGCTAATTATCCATGTTTTTTTTACTCAGTATGTGCCTATTCAGCTATAAAAAATATGATAGAATGAGGTCACTAGAGGCCAGAAAAATCGCTGTATTACTTTTTCCCCCCTCTCTCCGTTCGAAGGCTTGGCAATGCCACAAAATAAGAAATAGAGGACTCTGATTAAAAGGCAATGCTTTAAAAATGTTGTTGGCTCATACTATTTCACTGTAAAATTAAACTGAACAAAATGCATCCCACACCACCTTGATAACCTAAAAAGCACATAAAAAATATCAACCTGCCTTTTACTAGCGTTTTTCCTATTCATCTGTTCCAGTTTTTAAAGAGTCTTGATTATGAAAACAAAATGCTGAACATGTATGTTTATTTGATACGTGTTGAGGATGACTCTCAGCTATGACCACACCAAATTTTAGTTCAGCATCCGATCATTTGAATGAATTTCATTCATTTTTGTGTTTGCTAAAGTTGCTACCGGATCAGGCATTCACTTCTTATACAATTCAGATTGTGATATAATTTCCACCCTGTTGTCGACCAAGAAATACATCATTTCAAAGAAGATTTAACAGAGAAGTAACAAAGAAATACATCTTTTTAGAAAGGACTGAGTTTGGCGAAAGCAAAAGGATTAATTGAACCTACAGTGTCTGTTTCTCATTATTAAACATGCTGGTCAATCTGTAATGTTTAGGCATCCATCTGGTGAGWGCAATCAAGTCCAGTGTTTGTTATGCATGATTGCATAGCAACCAGGAAATATGATCTAATTTCATCTGACCAGATGGACAGTGGGGTGTAAATTTTACTCCCTAATGATGCTGGACTAGTTTAAATCCAGTCAATAAACAATCAGAGATACGTTGAAAATAACAACCCCATTACAGGTCAAATTATCAACCACTGTCTTTTACTTTCATAATTTTTTTCCTGTTAATTTGTTTCATGAAAACATCCCGTTCATGTTTTAGTGAAGCCATCTAGGAGCGAGGTATTGGATTTTCCTGCGCCCTAATCAATTTATCACTCACTTAAATTGATCTTTAAACAGCAACAGGCCCCATTTGCCACATGACAGCATAAACTTGATTTAAATATTAATGAGAGATTAGTCAATGTCCATGAGGGACATTAGGGGTTTGGGGAAAAAAAAGAGCAAAATCAGTGATGAATCTGTTACAACGGCTGCTACGCTGGCAGATGGAGGAGACGCAGAAGCTGAAACGGAAAGCTCTACGAGAAGGGAAGGGAAGACTCTTGTGTTTTAAATCATGGCTGCCGGTTAAACACCGCAGCCTAATGAGCGACAGTGAACAAAATATTTAACAGAAGAAAGAGTCTTTAGAGATTTGGACCTCTCAACAGGACACTGTTCTCTGTGGGTTATGGGTTTATAACAACCAATTTAGTCTTTACCTCTAGTCATTTGTTCTCAGTGTGCAGTCAATCAATATTACTCTTCAGAGTGAATCATTGTGGATTTTTTGTTGTTGTTTTGTTTTTGTTTTTTTTGCAGCTGTATTAAATGTCAAATCGACATTGACCTGCAATGCTAACTCTGTTTGTTTTAATTCTTGTTGATGCAGAAAGTAATCATTGGGATGACATCTGCACCTCATTCACTTTGGGAGTTAGCATGATTCAACAAACCTAAAAAACCTGACATAAACTAGTTTAATTCTGTCAATTTTACAGTTATTTGCTTGAATTCTGGTGTGGTAGTAGCTGAGACCGATCCCCAGCTCATATTTTGAGCACTAACAGATTGCACAAGATCCTTGTTTAAAACTTTGACATGAACTATTTCGGATCAATTCTGTCTGTTAGTAAAATATCTCATTAGCTACCTGACAGATTTTAATGAATCTTTCAGGAAATCTGAGAATGATTAACTCAGTTTAAGATGGCTGCTATTGTTAACTGATATTAAAAAACATAAATACTGCTATAACTCAATTTGACAGATACTGAGCTACAATTTGTTATGATTGTAGCTGAGAGTCACAAACACCTGGTAGATTTTTACATGCAGTACTTGGCTGTTTGTCTGTTAACAAAATATCCCATGGACAGATTTTCCTGAAACGTTCAGAAAGTAATCACCATATACCGCATGTCTAAAACTCCTTAATTTTAGAGTCAACTCCACTCCAGAAGGCCACCACAGCTATTTGACCTTAGCAAACATAGAAATGACTATAACTCAGTTAATTTCACAGACCTAAAATACAAAGTGGTAGTAGCTGACAGTCATATTCTTTCAAGGAATGTTAGATTTTTAATTTCCTTACTGTTTCCCTTTGTTGTTTGTTAAACTACAATCATTTCATTATAATATTGGATAAGACACAAAATAGTTTAACATAGTTAATTTTTTGCCAATTTTGCCAGAAGTTTCTGTTGCTTAGGAAAAAAWTTGTTGTTATTGTGTATTTTCCAGGCACATGGTTAAATTTTAACCATATTACCTTCAGTTGTTATAAAAATGCTGCCTATTTGAAAAATAAATTTGACTTTGCATCACAGTCTATCTAAACGCCTTGAAATTGGCCTCTGTCTCTTTAAGGACCCTCTACTATTTCAGACACTCCCACTTCAGCACATCTTCACAGCAATAGGTCAGGGGAGGGGTGCGCTGTGTGGGGCCGGAGCTCGACTTCAGACTGAGCTCCAGGAAAGAACTTGGCTGGGGACTGAGCTTCAGGGAGGAGCTAGGTATAAATAGGCGGAGCTTTGTACCAGCAAGTGTTAACACAGCTCCGCATGGCTACCACAGGAGATTTAAGGGTTTCATGCATGAATGAGTCAAAGCAACACACTGAGTATGGTTTTGATGAGGAAGTGATGTTATGACATGATATAAATCTCAAAATGTCAATTTTGCTTAATACCTGCCCCCTTTAAATGATCATTATCAAGCAATCAGTCTGATTTACTGACTGACCAATTAACTGGTCTTTCACTCTGATTCCCTCCTAATGAAGAAGTGTGCATTAGCAGGCAGCAGGTATAGCATAAGTGCTTTTCTTTTTATAGCTCATGGTTCTGGGTGAACCTGAATGGAAGGGTATTAAAAATGGAGAAAATTGTCCTCACACAGTGGATCTGATTAAGCAGCTTCACTCCTCATAGTTTGGCTCCGCTCTGCTCTGCTCCTCCGGATTCCTGTCAGCACACGCCGGACCCAAACACATCACGCAGACAGCCGGGCTGTCTGATGAGACCAGAAAGGTCATGCTACATTTCAGGCGCCGTGTCGAGAGGGGATCGGCTGAACGCTGGCGCAGGGGGAGATTTATTAAGTGTGTCGTGGTCATATGCAATGTGCAGCTCCCACACAGACGTCTCTGTCACAAACAACTAAAGGATGAGGGGCGTCTGACACGCCGAAAGGCTGATGGAGTGCTGATGATGCTCCAGGTTTAAAATGCAATAATGTCGCAGCTTGTGGAGTGAAGCCTCTTGTCCTTGTACCGCAGCCTGAGATTTATAAGCTGCAGCGGAGCGACTGGAGTTTTCAACGTCTTAATGCCAACAAATGCTAATATCAGTGACAGTTTGTGTAACAACTAATTTCTTTTAAATCTAAAGCAGAGGATTCAGTGGCTAGTAAAAGTACGGAAACCTTTAGCCTCAAAGGGTGTAATTAATATCATGACATGACATAAAAATGACTATTTGTAGGGATTAACCTAATTATCATACTTATTTGGAGACTTTACATAACTTTATCCAGTTTTAGGTCACAGATGAAGCTGTTGAGCCTGCAAATCTTTTCAAGACATTTTACACATACAGTAAATGAGTTCGAGAAAGGAGTTTGTTTCTATCCATAAATGAAACTGTCTGGAATTTGACTCTGGTTAGGCTGCAGGCTCATCATCAGAATGAGGTGAACTCAGTTTGAATTGACAGGAAACTGGATTTGGACTGAACAACAGAGGACTGTTCTTCCTGTTAAGATCTGTGTCTGTTTTTAATTTAATTTAATTTAATTTAATTTAATTTA